TTGGGCAGTAAGAGAAAGAAATTTTAGGCTGGAAAACTAGTAACACTTGATCTGCCACTGCCAAGTATTTGGTACAACTATTACTTGTGGTAACTTGGAAGGTAGACCATGTTCCTATGGAGCCCACAGCTAGAGAAGAAATGACCAGAAAGAGCTAGAATGATCATATGTGTTGACTTTAGCAACATACAGCAAGAAATAGATAAACCTGAGAAAGATTTGACCAATTTGTAAACAGATAAAGAGAAAAGAAAGTGTCCAGTAACTTAAGACTTACGAGGTTGAAAAAATCAACTGCTTCTATACCTCCAAAGAGAAGAAGACAAGACTACTGTTGTTCAAAGGACTCCTGTTAACACTCTCCCCAGCTTTCCAAAAAAAGAGACCCAGCCCTGAGGCAAAACCCAGATTAAGGATGCTGCCTGTTGTTTTATATGGCCTCAAAGTAACTACCATCAAAATGAGAAAACAAAGAAAGAAAACAGCTTAGTATCTATATCTAGAAAAGAACTTGGGTGTAATTACCAGGACATGGAACTAACTGGAAGCAAAAACAGCAGATACTTACCAAATTTTTGAGGAAATGGTTTTACCAAAACAACCATAAGCCTAGCCAGAAAAAGCTTGTTTTTGTTTTTTGTTTTTCAAATTAAGAATAGCTCCCAAAGAAGGCATAGTCTCCCAACACAGTACTTTGATGTGGCCATGTGGGATAATGGACAAGAAGAAGTCTTCAGAAGGCCAAGGGCTTCAGAAGACAATTGAGAACGAGGAGTTGAAATCACTCTACTGCTAGAGAAAGGATTTGTTATTTGCTATGGTTCAGTGACTACCACATATATTGCCAAAATTCCCTTTTCTGAACAGGAGCCTTTATTTCACTTCTCCTGGTCTTGTTCCTCCACTATTTATTGGTGGCAGGGTGGGAAGACAATGTGATGTTCAGTTTGTAGGTGGTTGAAGAGTCTAATCTGGTAGAGATTCTTGACTTTTGATCTAATGATGGGACTCTGGGTGTTTTCCTCGGGGGGTGAGTGAGTACATTCTATGTTGGGAAGGAGGGAGCGTGCTGACATTTGGATTGCCAGAGGGGCAAACTGTGGTAGAAGTTGCCAGTTAGTTTTCTGATCCTTCCATAATTACAGAACTGTAGACAGGCTCCTGGCCACCCAGCTGGATTATACTTCCCAGCCTGCCTCACAATTACAACATGACTAAATTCTTAACATTGCTAAGTGAGCACTATCCAGATCCAGGACTTCAGACCTTCAGAGGTTTATGTTCTCTTCCCCTAATGTGCCAGCTGGAACCATATGTGGTAACAACCCTTCTTTGACCCTACAGATGAGGAGAGCGTCCCAGGAGATGGCAGAACAACAACGTAGAAGGAACCATGGTCCCTAAATGTTCTCAAGGAGAAAAGCTGTCTAGTGAATCTGGACTTCACATTGATATTATTCCCTAATAGAAAAAAATACACTTCTTTGTCCTATAAGACACTTAAGTGTTAGGTAAGACCATCACTAGTATATGGCCAGTATAAGAAATCCATCTCTTCTTACGCCCTGGACCTGTGAGAAAGTCTTGGGGAAAATTTCTGCATGCATGTATATATGGGTCCACAGGCAAACACAAAAGAGCTAATTAAAGAAAAACCTTGTGGAGTTGTGGTATAATGAAAGTATATATTTAGTTGTTGTCCCTGATTCCTGACACAGAGCTTTTAAAACCTTCAGAATTTCCTGAGTGATAGGACTGTCTTCTGTTGTTCATAATGAACACCTTCTGACCATACCTCAGGCTAAGCTAGTGAAGTGACATAGGTGGGGCCCGAAATAATGTCAAACTATTGGAGTTTGTTGGCAGAGAGACCAAACATGAGATTAAAAGGTGGGAACTTTCAGCCCCGCTCCCTGGTCTCCAGGAAGAAGGAGAGAGATTGGGTTAGAAAAACTCAGCAATGACGTTTGGAGAGCTTTTGGGTTGGTGAACATGCTGAAGTGCTGGGAGGGTGGTGCACCCAGAAAGAACATGGAAGTTCTGCATTCCCAGTCCCACACCGTGCCCTACACATCTCTTCCATTTGGCTGTTCCTGGGTTGTACCTTTGTCATAATCTCCTAAATGTAAGTAAAGCATTTTCTTGAGTTCTGTGAGTCATTCTAGCAAATTATCAAAACTGATGAGGGTGTTGTGGGAACCCCAGAATTTATAGGTGATTGGACAGAAATACAGGTGGCCCCTGGAACTTGTGACTGATGTCTGAAGTGGGGGAGTCTTGTGGGACTGAACCCATAACCAGCAGGGTCCATACTAACTCGGATAGTTAGTGTTAGAGTTGAATGCAATGATCAGACATCTTGTTTGTGTTGAGGACTGGAGAATTGGTAGGGAAAACCCTCACACATTTGGTGTCAGAAACGGTACCAGAAAAATAGACACCACAAGAGCTTAAGCCTACATAGGGTACGGAGTAATCAGGGCTGACCCTAACGCTTTGCTTTGCTTTACACAAACACTTCAGCTTTGCCTCTGCACCCTCTGAACTCTGGGAGCTCAGCTGTGGTGGCATCAACCCTCAGCACAATTGTTCTGCTTGCAGTGGCCGAGAACCTCTAGGCTGTTACAACGCCAACCTAAGACAGATGTTAAATTGGACTTTTCCAACCTCGGACAAATGGCTGAGAACAGCAAATGCAAGGGACTGCATGTCTTACAGAGAGATACCAGACCATTTTACAGAACTTGTTAACAGGTGTCCCCAACCAGTATTATGACCCCTGGCCCATCACCCATGTCCAGGCTTTGTAAGAGAATGGAGATTGGTCAGACATCCAGAGAGTTGGCAGAGAGCTACACGTTTCCTGCCCCCTCCCCACTACCGGCCCCACTGTAAGTCACGTGAGGAAGAATTTCAAGAGTCTGAGACATCACTTTGGATTCCTGAGACTGAACCAGGTCCAAGAAGACATATGTTAAACTGAATGGAAAACTGAAGTTTTCATTTCATATTGGACTTTTTTTTTAACAAAAAAAATTTTCCCCAGCTTTATTGAGATATAATTGTGGACTGGGCTTTTTATTACCGGAAAGTGAAACTATCTGTTACTATTTGAAAGATTCATTTATTTTTTTATTTAAGAGGGAGGGAGGGGCAGAGGGGCAGAAGGAGAGGGAGGGGGAGTCTCAAGCAGACTCCCCACTGAGCACAGAGTCCGACCTGGGGCTCCATCCCATGACCCTGAGATCATGACGTGAGCTGAAATCAAGAGTCGGACCCTTAACCGACTGAGCCACCCAGGAGCCCCTGCCTGTTAATATTTTAAAGTGACCAGGAAAGCTATGAGACCTACCTGAGTTATTATTCAGGGGAGAAGAGAGAGACTCACAGCATGTTCAAAAAGCAAGAGAGAGGAAAAATCAAGAAGCTCCTGCTGCTTGTGCCTACCAAATGCATGTTATTCAATACACAGGGGGGACTGGGTTTGAGTGGGGATGCCTGCCTTGGCTCCCTTGGGCCTCATAGCCAAGACTCACATAAAAAACGACTGGCATAGTACCCATTTTCAACAGCAACATCGGGTGAGGCAACAACAACAACAACAAATTGATTTTTCTAGTTTTTCTCTCGTCAAGGCCCGAGCAATTAGAACCAAGTCCTTAAACTAAGAAAGCATGGAAGGTTCCGGACTACTGCAGGAGAGGGAAACCTGAGGAGGGGAGAAAGACAATCCAGCACAACAGATGTCCCCAAACAGTTAACCTGAATATTCAGAGAGGCTTTATGAAGTCGACTTATGGCTTTGAATGGCCTAACCCCAGACTTCTTTTATATGACATACAAATTTACACCTGATTTGACTTTGTTCTCTCCGATATCATATCTGTAATATGTTAAAAGCTAAGAAAAAGACAAACAAATCCAAAGAAAAAATAGGCAAAGGAAAGCAGATAATTTACATAAGAAATACAAATCGTCAATAAAGTATCTGAAAGTGTACTTAACTCTAGAAGTAACTCAAGAAATGTACATTTAAAAGATGAAATACTGTTTCTTACTTATCAGGTTGGCAAAAATCTTAACTATGAATTCTATCTGGTTGGATAGGATCTGGAGAAATATACTTCATTCAATACTGATGGGACTATAACTTGGAAAAGTCTTTTCTGCAGGACCGTTCAGAAATAGCTATGAAAATTAAAAATGCATTTGTATATGAGCATGCACACATGTACATGCATGGCTGTGTGTGTGTTTAATGTACAGAAAATAGCCTAGAAGGATCTATAACCAGCTTAACAGTGTTTCTATTTCTTAGGAGAGGAGGGCAGTGGAATGGAATAAGGGTATTAATGAACTTTCACTTTTTACACTGGACTTAAAATTTTTATGACCACAGTGTTATTTTTGTAATTAAAATTTTACATGAAAAATCAGTCACCCTGCTTCTCAAAGATTAAATAGATACGCAAAATATTTTAATTGATTTATTTCCCTTAAAAATATATATATTAGGTGTTGAGCATGCATAGTCTACTGAAATTTGAGTAAACTTCGGCTACCTGAACCCTACCTTGTTATAGGTAGGTGGTTTAGTATTTTACACCCCAGTTAAGAGGGCTTCCTAATTTGGTAACAATGTAAGTACAGAGTGGTGTTTTATATTGCTGGGCAGTATGGACAGGCTTGTTTTAAGTAATTAAAGATTAAAAACATAATCTTAGGTAAAGTATTTTGAAAAAAATTCAGAGATTTGCATTTTTTAGATAAAAATCATGAATTCTATTATTAGTTTGTTTTTTTTTTTTTGGCAGAGACAGCCTCCAATTTTTAGGCATGCATGACAAGGAAATGACCTTCTGCCAACCCATACTGATGTACTTTCTCGTTTTCAGACCAGAATTCTTTCAGAAAAACAGCAAGTCTTCCAAGAAATCTTTTTTTTTAATCTCAAAGTTTTAAGCAAAAATAGGTCATTTAAAATATAAAGACATTCTTACTTGGTCCTCAAAAGATAGAGCCTGGGCAACATCTCTTGGAAAGCCATCGATAACAATGCCTTCTTCATCAGGTATTTGCATCAATTTCTGTTTTATCTCTGTAATTGTCGTTTCCTTTTACAAATTAAAAAAAAAGATGAAAAAACACAGTTAAGCCTACACTCACCACTGCTATAAAAATCTTTGCAGAATAGAAGCAAATTACCCAGCAGTACCTGTGGGGCCAATTCTCCAGTTGTAATTATTTTGGCAATAAGACTCCATTTCCTATTGCTGCTGGTGTTGTGGATTTTCTTTCGTAATAATTCTCCCACCGAAATGTATTGGAATCCATAACGTTCTGCAATTTTCAAACTTTGAGTACCCTTTCCACTTCCCGGACCACCTATCAGTTAAAACAGGCAAAATTGTGACCTTCTGATACAAGAAGAAACTCCTTTTTATACAGCTACCACCCCTGCCTTGAGATGCAGAGTCTAAATCACCAACAGCAGAGTGGGCAACTCTACGCTCGTGCCATTCTTGGTGCTAACTCTGAATGCAGAGCAAGTGTAGACTTAGCCAAAGGAAGGACAGAATGATGACCAACTTTATTAGATGAAAGAGACATCTTTTCCTTTACTTATTTTAGTAAATAATTTAGAAAATTGGACAATGCAGTTGAAAGAAATTGTTTCATGTTCTTCTTTGTAAAACCTAATTGTTTTTTCCTCTGTAATCAAAGAAAAATCTATGGGACACAAGAGACAATGACCAAAATAACAGAAATGTGTTCCATGCCAACAAAGAGCTAATGTGCAATTTGGTGAAATGTAACTATTATTTTTAAACCCAAAGGGACATCAATATTGACAGTTTATTTAAATCTTTTTTTTTAACTTTGTTCATGGGTCTCCTTGTTTTATCTCCTTTAAATTCCAAAGAAGTTTTATGTAATGAATACAGAGTGAATGGAATGGTTTCTTAAAGCAGAACAGTTTCATAGAGCTCATGATAATTTCAATTTTGTGATATATTAGTATGAAGTAATCAACATTTTGCAATCTTACTCAATACTAATCATTGGTAATTACCATTTACTTTTTAGAAGCTTAAGTCCTAAAATAATTATAAAATATATGCCTCAGATTTTATTTCCAATCATATTGGATTATTTTAATTTATATTTCTAAACAACCTAGACTAACTGGAATCTAAAATCTGAACAAATTTCTTTTTTTTTTTTTAAAGATTTTATTTATTTGAGAGAGAGAGAACGAGAGATAGCACGAGAGGGAAGAGGGTCAGAGGGAGAAGCAGACTCCCCGCCAAGCAGGGAACCCGACGCAGGACTCGATCCCGGGACTCCAGGATCATGACCCGAGCCGAAGGCAGTCGCCCAACCAACTGAGCCACCCAGGCACCCTGAACAAATTTCTAAATAAAGCACATAGCAATCAGCCCAGTCTGATTTTGATTTGTTACTTTGTTTTTTTTTCTTTAAAGACTCTACTCATATGGGAGAGAGAGAGAGCATGAGCAGGGGGAGAAGGGGGGGTGGAAGGAGAATGAGAGGGAGAAGCCGACTTCCCTCGGAGCAGGGAGCCCAATGACTCTGGGCTCCATCCCAGGACACTGAGATCATGCCCCGAGCTGAAGTCAGAGGCTTAACCAACTGAGCCACCCAGGTGCCCCGATTTGTTACTTCTTAGTAATTAACAAAATGAAATATTTTCAAGTATTTAAGCATAAATTATTGACTATAGACAAAATATTTCTAAAGGTTAATGTCTAATAAAGAATGAAATGTTTTGGTAATACTCACTGAAAATAATTATAATTTATTAAGCAATATTGAAAAAAAAATTCAATAGAAAAGTGAGTTGATGTTCTCCCTACTAATTCAATATATCAAGCTTTGGGGAAGAGTAGAAGTCATTTTATATATAATTATTTAGTAATTATTTTTTGCAAATCGTATAAGTAAAAAAGAAAGACAGGTGTTTTGTTTGTTCTTTCTGAGAAGAGTTCTGAATGAGTACACACAGGTGGCCAGGGCTTATTTCCTCTTTAAAAATTTTAAAGTGCAGGGGCGCCTGGGTGGCTCAGTTGGTTAAGTGTTTGACTTTTGATTTTGGCTCAGGTCATTATCTCAGGGTCCTGGGATGGAGCCCCGCCTCAGGCTCCTTGCTTGCTCTTTCTGTCTCTCTCTCTCAAATAAATAAATCAATCTTTAAAAAATTAATAAATAAAAATAAAATTTTTAAAGCACAGAATTCTAAGATCTATGAGAATCATTTAACCCCAATACCAAGTAATACACCTGATAACATGTGGTTTCCCCTTTTTGCTGCTTTATTAAAATCAGGATAGGAATTTGTTTGCATTTTTAACCATTTTCTTTCTAAGAAACTCTAAATCCTATCCTATTAGATTTAACATTATGAATTACTACTAGATTAAATTCATTACTTTGCAAATAAAAAGTAAGTTTTGGTTCTAAATGGCTGTTTCTGGCCTATTAACCTATGGTGCAGTTCATGGATTGGCTTGAAATAAAAAATTATATGAGTAACTCCATCAAATTTGAGCTGATTTGATCCTTGAAGAATGAAAGTTATCTTTCATAAACTATATTTCCACACTGTATCTCATAAAACATCAAACTTAAGAGATTATAAATCCCACTGAATTAAACAAAAAATGAAGTATGCTAAGAAAGTTATGGCACCTTCAAGAAAAAAAATTTTTGTCAACTAATGGAAGCAAACAGCAGACAACACAAACATGATTAGCACAATGGAAGAGAATAGCATTAATTTATTAGATGGTTTTGATTAACAAATTAATTTCATGTTCTTCTCTGAAACCAGAGTGAGCTTAATCTTATTCTATTTATTTATCTCTAATACAAATATTAGGATCCATCTAACTCTTAGATTTTTAATTAACATAAGAGAGATTCATGTCTGTGCCAAGAAGGCTGGCTTTACTAAAAATTGTGCATCACCAGAAAGGAAATTTTGTTTATTTGAATGTAATACCATGTGGGTATCTGTACCTCCTCCACTCCTTTTTTAGGCTGGTACCAATAAAATTTGTAAGCTTCAGGTACAATTATAATTCCTCAAAAGTCATAAAATTGCCCCAATTTTCTCAGATAACCTAAAGTTCGGTTTTTCCTTTCTTCTCATATCTCAATCCTCTAAAATCTAAAAGTTATTCACACTCATTGGTTCTGCATCATTCCTGGAATACATAAAACTTTATAGTGTGTAAGTCTAAAACCAGAATCACACTCTTGGGAAGCCAGTTGATTTTACTGAGTAAAAAAGAACTGTGGAGTTCTTTGAAGATTTGAAGCATTTATATCTTCTCCAAAGATCTTAGTTTATTGAAATATTTTAGTCATTTTCATATAAAAGTCACAGTGCACAAAAAATTCATGTATGTGTTGTTTTACACAAGAGCATTTTGGTATTACACATTTTTCATGGACAAACAAGCCTCCATTTGTTTAGCCTATTAATAATCACCAAAATTTTAGTAACAGCAACAAGAAAAATAATATTGAAAGAATATTTCATCACAAAATAGCAAAATAATTTCCAATTATTCTTCACCTGTAGCTCTATGTTTTAATAAAGCATTTCCTCATCCTCTAGGTAAGGACCTCAAACTTTTAAGCATACACAGACAACATCCCATTTTCAAGAACAGAAAGAGATTTATGGCATAATGGTGGCTACCATACGTCATAAGAATAATGACTTTTAGAAAGAGAGTTTCTATACTTTCTTCCTACAATATTATTTTAAACAATTCAGGGCTAAATATATTTGCAATTTCATTTTCATTACACTGAGAGATGGACCAGTGTCACTCCTTCTACTCTGGTGAACTTAAATTCTTGTTATAGCTTGGTGTGTTTATTTGCATGCTTTTTTTCCTAGTTGCCATCATCATTATATCTCCTGGAAACAGTACTTATTTGCATGGGGGCTGTATTCATTTTGCCCTCTGTTAACATTACTGACAGGAAGAGTTTTGAACATTTCACACTCGATTTTCACTTTTGGTCATCTCTGTGAAAGCTGAGTCAAACTGGAATGTGAGACAATGATGACATATTGCATGTTCACAGGTCTCCTCATGATTTTTACAGATTTTGAGGAGTTAGAATTTGCAAGAATAGTCAAAAATGCGTTTTGCAAAAGACTTTCAACATTTTCCATATCCGTTCCTTGTGAAATGATACCAGACTAGTAATTTCATACTCATTCATAGTAAGCAATGTTAAAAAGTAACTTTTATTATTATTTTGATTAATACTCAGATGTTATGTGCTGTGTAAAACACTATTCCATTAGATTTGCCTGTCTGAAACATCAAAACTTAGATTTTATTTTAGGTGCCAGTTTGCCATATGCAAGATTTCATTTATATGAATTGTTACCAACATATTATTATTATTATTACCCTCTAAAGTTAATAGTGAATAAAAATTCAATTTGTTGAGTTAAAAAGAAAAAAACATATCATGTTTATTAAAAAAAAAAAGAAGAAGAAGACAGCAAGAGGGGAAGAATGAAGGGGGGGAAACCGGAGGGGGAGATGAACCATGAGAGAGGATGGACTCTGAAAAACAAATTGAGGGTTCTAGAGGGGAGGGGGGTAGGGGGATGGGTTAGCCTGGTGATGGGTATTAAAGAGGGCACATTCTGCATGGAGCACTGGGTGTTATACACAATGAATCATGGTACACTACATCAAAAACTAATGATGTAATTAATGTATGGTGATTAACATAACATAATAAAAAAATATTATGTTTAGAAAACTTCTAATGGATTCAGTTATCTTGTTAAAAGTTAAACAGATAAAACCATAGGACAATAAATCTTGAGGAGATTAATACTTTCAATTCATTATAGAGAATTTCTAGGACATTGTAATGAGAGTCTATAAAAGTGCGATAGGATTAGATTATATAATTATAATAATTGTTTTATTGAAAATTATGCTAAAAATATTTCTATCTACTGTCTCTTAAGCTTTTGTTTCTATTTGTCATTACCCAACCTAGTATTTGCAAATACATATAATTAACATAATCTCTTGAAATGTAAATATATAAACAAAGATAGCAATAGCATAAGAATTTTGCTTTCTGTCCTCATACCTATGACAAGAATGATTTTTGGTCGAGGTCTAGTAGGATCAAAAACCTCATATTCCTCAATTAACTCTGCAGTCTCAGAGAGGTCTGTATCACTTTCTATGGAGAATTGATGGATTGGAGGGAGCCGATCATACCGCCGATATGGAAAGTTTGCATTTTCAGGCATTACTGCAAAAGAGTAAGATAACTTTGAAACGGAAAAAAAAAAAGAATAAAACATTTTTTGTACTTAGCCAATTAGTAGAGGAAACTTTTCAAACTAAATGAGTTTGGTTTTTTCAACTGGAAGAAGACCCCATCCTGTAAGTGGTATGCAAACTTTTTCTTAAAGGGCCAGACATTCAATATTTTGAACTTCGAACAGTCTCATACTCAACTTGGCCATGGTAGCAGGAAAGCGGTCATAGACAATATAAAAACAAATGGATGAGCTTGTGTTACAATAAAACTTTATTTATAAAAACAGGTAAGGAGTCAGACCCAGGTCATGGGTTATAGTTTGCCAACCCCTGTTCAGAGGAACCTTCTTAAGTACTGCCTAATCTTTCTTGGTAGTTTGTATATATCCTGATCTCTGCAAATGATGCTCCCTAGAGTTGTGTAGTATACAAGCTCACAACTTTCACAACCTTATGCAGCTGCTAACTCCCGTGTTGTTCAAGGCTCAGCCATGGTTCCTGTAGTTCATGGCTCCTTCCTTCCTCACCCTGTGTGTCACTATTCTGGGGGGCACAGAGAAGCCCTAACTACCCAAAAGGCACCTGCATAAAAGAAACAGGAGGCCACTTGGCTTTCCATGAGGGATTTAGTTATGGGGACTACTGGACTTTAGCATGGCATCATGCTCATATCTCTTTCTGGGGTGTTGATCAGGTAGAACTTCTCATGCTCTGCTGATACAATAAATGAGGATATTGACTACTAACCCACTGGACTCACTTTAGTTCCACGAAAGGAATAGAGTAGTCTGCAATGATAGTGGATATTCTTTAGAAAATTCTGGGAAGGGTTTATGATAGAAAAGGCACTGACAACAGTATCCTGTTTTGCCTGAAATTGAATTGCTACACCCAACACGGCAAAACTCTAGACATTATCCTCAATTACTTTCTTCCCTTACTCTTCACATCTACTGCCATAGATGTTATCTCCAAAACATATCCCAAATGCATATATTTTTCTCCATCTCCACTACCACAACTCTTGCCTAAGCCACCATCATTTACCCAGACTACTATAATAGACTCTTTACTGGTCTGCCTGCTTCTAAATTGTCCCCACAATCCACTGCCTGAAATGCTTTTCCCAATGCAATCCCATGGCCGTCTGCTGCTTGCTATTCATGCCTCAGCTCAAATGACACCTCCTATAAGAGAACTTCACTGACTTTTTAATCTCGAGTAGCCACCTAATTTCCAGGGCACCACTCTAACAATGCTCTACATAGCATCTACTATTTCACCATCTGAAAGGTCTCCATTTACTGTTTGCCTTCTCCCATTAGAATGTTCAATTCCATGAAGCAGGGACCTTACTCATCTGGAACTGTATCTCTGGGATCTAGAACTATGCTTGGCACATAGTCAGTGTCTGATAAATATTTGCTGAACTGTTAACAAAGAGAATAGATGACTTCCCATAGAGAAAAGCCAGAAGATGGGTAGGCAGAGTGTGGCCATAGGATAGAGGGCCTTGACCACCATGGTAAAGGGTTTAGCTTTAACCTGGTAGAAAGCCAGCAGAGAGGTGTTTTTTTTGGGGGGGCGGAGGGGGTGAGTAGAGCAGTGACATAATTAAATATGAAATATGTTTTTTAGGAAGATTAATCTGGTGATGGTTAGAAGGGATTGAGTAGGGAGATGAGGAGCAGAAAGAATAACAGCTAGGAGTCAGGTACAGTAATGCACAGGTGAGAAATAAGGGCTTCACTTAGAGGCATGGGAAATGGACACAAGTGGTTAGATATGAAGAACATGGTTAGGATTGGGATCTGTGACATGAAAGCAGGTGATATTACAGAAACAATTACCAGGTTTCAAGTCTAAATGAATAAGGAAAACATTGCATTTCATATAGCATCTTTCTGCCTTCTCTCTTCTGCTCCAGAAATAGTGGGCTTCTCTCACTCCTTTCTATATCATACCCTCATCCTCTATGTCAGGAACTCCTATTCTCTATTCCCTGGTAGCTACTCAAACTCCTCCATCCATCTCTAGCTAACACCCACTCAGCTTTCTGTCTCCAAGCATTAGCATATCACTTCTTCCCGGAAGCCTACCCTGAACCCCAGCCTAGGTTGGATCCATTCCCCCGTTAATATGGTTGATCCTATAGCATATGGTATTTCCTAGAGCACCCACTGTGCTTCTAATTATATATTTATTTTTTTCACCATCAATGTTTTTTTATTCCATATTCAAAACGATCACCAACTTCATTATTTTTATTTCAACAATTATTCCTAACATCTTATAAAAATTCTTAAAAAATAACCTCAGCATTATATTCTATATAATTTTTATGTATATACCATATAGGTATATGATTTATATACATATGATGTATATAATATATACATAATTTTTATGTATATACCATATATCTTTATGATACATATATCATACCTGTATAGAGTGTTCACTATCTACACTCCTATAGTATTTACAAAACATTTCTTTTTAATGTATTTTAATATTTTATTTTTTAAATTTAAGTATAATTAACATAGTGTTTTATTAGTTTCACGTGTACAGTGTAATGACTCAACAATTCTATACATTTCTCAGTGCTCATCAAAATAAGTGTGCTCCTAATCCCCTGTATCTATATCACCCATCTCTCCACCCACCTCCCCTCTGGCAACCATCAGTTTATTCTCTGTATTTAGGATTCTGTTTTTGTTTGTTTGTTTGTTTTGTTTTAAACTCCACACATGAGTGAAATCATGTCGTATTTGTCTTTCTCTAACTGACTTATTTCACTTAGCATAATACCCTGTAGGTCACTCCATGAGGGCAGGTTAACATGTTTGTTCTTTCTCAGTGGCTACATCTTCAGTCCTAAAAGAATGTCTGACAATAGCAGTGCTCAATAAATGGTTATTTTAATGCTCAACTGACTCTCTGACTGACTTCATCGAGATAAGAAAAGAAGGAAGTGCTGGTTTTGAAGCAAATATGCTATGCTTTCTTCTAAACATGTTGAGTATAAGATGACAATGAGATATTCCAGAACAGAAGCTCTATGGACATTTGGAGCTATGGGATTAGAACTCTTATTCACAACTAATTATTTGTTCAGTTGTGTATATATGGCAGAAAAAAATGGATGCTTATCTTACATTGATAATACAGTCTTTTCAGTCAATAATTTATTCTCACTTTTTTATCATATCTTTATATATGAAAGCAATTTGCCTAAACGATTAAAACGTTTTAATTCATAGAATAATTTTTCATGATAATTATATATTAGCATAGCTATATCAATATTTCAGCAAAATATGCATGAATCACTTTTTATTTCTAGAAATAATGATGCTTTAAGTTACTGGGAAGTTATCAGTTTCCTTTAATTTAATAATATATTCCATAAATTATAGCTAAAACTTACAAAACACAAGTATGTAAAGCATTTCAGAAAATAAAATGTTATTATTACAGAAAGGTCCATTTAGAAACCATTCTTTCAGCATGTGTCCGAGATACAGAAATGTAATAAGGCATTCCTGTCATCATAGTATACTGAAAGGTTCTATTTGATGATTAACTAAAAGATCTCTGAGAAGGAATTCTGGTAAAGTATCAGTAGGTATGGAGCGTCTAAAATTAATAAACAATTGTAATTCTAATGAAAGTTAAACCTACATTTTCCATTCCTGTTTTAGCTTATCCTGCTAACTCAGGAGTTCCAAACTGGTCATTTGTGGGCCTAATACAGCCCCGTAAATGTGTTTTCTTCAGCTCAACATTTTTCCAAAATTTGTACATGACTGCCTTTAGACAATGACTGTTCTCACTTATTTGACCACAGTCTCCACTGTTCTGTATTACACACTTGGCCTGCCTGACTTCTATGTATAATCAAGCCAAGTAAGAGTATGAGACAGAAGCATTCAGATTTTATTTTGTTGCAAAACAGTCACTTTTCATACCCAGTCTGAGAGCAGCTTTTGAACTAAGGGGATATCATATCCTCTTAGATTTAAATTTAAAAATGTAAAAATATTTTAGACTAAATCCAGTAATACCTGAGGTTTGTCAATGCTTTAAGGTTTAGAAACGATTCCCTATATTTAACCTCACTTAATTAAACAAGGGCGTGGCACACGTATTTAACACTGAGCCAGATTCTAACAGTATAACAACCCAGGAAAGTAAGTTAGCTGTTTTGGGAAGGTACGTGAACCCTTCAAGCCCATGAAAAAGTCATTTTGTTCACCGAAACAGAAATTTACTAAGTGGTGTGCCTCGGAAGTAACTGTCACTTGAGCATTCAGGCCTCTATCAACTGGTGATGATTCCTGCAAGGATAGGGAAGGATTCTGCTCTCTGGAGATGCTTCTGAGAAAATGTTGTTTCTGCTTACCCTTTCTGTTTGTATTTCTTAAAAATTAACACACTATGACTTTTCCCCCACACTGCATTCAAATAAAATCTAAGCAGGTCATGACTAAGTAAAATAAACAGAAGTTTATTTCCCTCTTGTATTTGCTACAAATACTTGTAAGACTTGTATTATAAATGCTGCAAACATTTCGTGGTACAATTTTTGAAAGTGATGTAAATTTTGAAATTATAACGATCTTGGCCACTGGGAAAGAATAAACTTAGTTTCCCGATTGGAAATGATTCCATTTTGCACATACGATTTTACTTCAACTAGAGCCTAAAAGGTGGTTGGCTGATGTTGAACCACTAATTTTGATAGGCATGTAGTTCAGAAAGCTATCAGAATATACCACGAATCTCCTCTAGTGAACTCCAGTTCTTAGTTCCAAACTATTCTTAAAATTGCTAGACAAGTTCATGTCTTCTACTTATTTTATAGCATCCAAATGCCTAATCTATTATGTTGCATTCAGTAGCTGCTTAATAAATACTTGTTGGATTAACTAGTATGAACTTAATATGCATTTATGCAAATGCACTAATATGAACTCTGAGTGTGGAAACATATTATGCCAAGCTCTTCCCAGCTAATTAAGGAATGTTTAATTATTACATAATAACTATTTTGTCTATCCATTTATTTGGGAAACTCTTATTTGCAGTTTTAAGAAAAATTCATAGTTTGCTAATGTAATTCATTTTGCAAAATAATAAAGTCAGAAATACAAAATTTCATTAAGCCTTTAGGGAAGTGTTGGACAGTGGCATGTGCTTTAGTCTTATCACAAATGTGATTAGAATTCGGAGCAGAGAGATTAATCATGTTCCAGGGTCAAATATCTTTCTAGGCTTTTGGAAACCTAATAAAACAAATAACTACCTATAGTCTATATGGTGTGTTTTAAAAAGAACTGCTGTAACTATAAACCATTATTCTACACATACATTACCATTTCTTAGAAAGGATCTCCGTGACTGTCCTCCATTGAGCGGAGGTAAGGTCTTCTTTTCCTGGCTGACAAATGTATCCCACTTCACCTTGTCACAGCCACCTAATTCTTTAACTTTCTGTAAACAACTTTCCAAGTACTCTACCGGGTCTTCGGGCTTAGAACACATCAGTCCATTCAAGAGGCTCTGAAATACAACAACAAAATATGCCTATGTAATATAGGTTTTAAAACCACCTTTGTTAAAATAATTGTATGTCCCATCTTTAAATTCTGGGTTGCTTTTGGTCTTTGCATTTGTTTTCTTAATGAACAATTAGAGGTGGAATTATGACCTGCTGAGTAATTAAGAAAGCCCCTAAATTCTTGACCATTAGTGTTCAGCTCAGCATTCTCTGTCTTTTAAACAATTCAGACAACTACATAGTTTAAAATGGAGGCACCCTATCAAAGTGAGATAAAGTGCAGTGCGTAAAAGTGCTCGTCATTATTTGTCATATTCTCACCCATTCTTAAAGGCTCTGAGCCTCAGTCTCTTCATTTGTAAAATGTTTTACCTACCTCAGAGAGTTGGGTTTTTTTTTAAGATTATTTATTTATTTATTTGATAAAGAGAAACACCGCAAGAAAGAGAACACAAGCAGGGGAAGTGGGAGAGGGAGAAGCAGGCTTCCTGCTGAGCAGGGAGCCCAATGTGGGGCTCAATCCCAGGACCCTAGGATCATGACCTGAGCTGAAGGCAGATGCTTAAGGATTGAGCCACCCAGGTGCCCCCTCAGAGAGTTTTTTAAGGATTAAAAATGTAATATTTGTAAAGTGCATATTGAGGGCCTGGCGCATAGTAAATGCTCAATTGAATTGGTGGTTCCCATTAATATTATTATGATCAGGAAGCCTCCTCTGAGCTCCCAGGTTGGCTTGTGGACCTATTCCTAGCATTCCGTATTACCCAGAAAAAAAAAATCTTACCTGTCATTTATACTGAAACCATCAGTTTATTGTGTTGGTCTCATCTTCTAAACTGTAAACTCTTCAACAACCCAGAGTGGGTCTTTTTTATTTTTCAGTCTCTAGCCCCTGACACTGTCCCTGGCACATGGTAGGTGCATATTGGACTGTTTTATTTTTTTTTAATATTTTATTTATTTATTTGACAGAGATAGTGAGAGCAGAAACAGAAGCAGGGGGAGTGGGGGAGAGAGAAGCAGGCTTCCCGCTGAGCAGGGAGCCTGATGCGGGGCTTGATCCCAGGACCCCGGGACCATGACCTGAGCCGAAGAGACACTCAACGACTGAGCCACCCAGGCTCCCCTGGACTGTTTTCTAATTAGGAAAAAAATTTTACTCAAAACATAGTCTGAGACTTAAAAAAATGCTATTTGATATATAATAAATCACCACAATATCCGCTGAGGTTACAGAGGAAAACCTGGTGTCCAATGTGTCACATGTAGTAGTTTCTAAAAATGCTACAAATTTGGAAATGCTGACTCCCGGGAACTGGACTGATGTGCAAACTGTTTTCCTTTACAGTATTTCATGGAAAAAGCATAGAGGATTATTATCACCAATATACATTATTAATGTACAACACACACACCCCCTTTGAAAGGCTGACATCTTTGCTAAATACGGTATTTTTATTTTCACATTATTCTTGTACAATTTGTTCAAAGTGGTAGGCAGTTCTTTCCAGGTACATTTGTTCTCTCAAATCCCAAATAGTGTGGGTTAGAGTGCTGAGAGGAATTCAATTGCAGAGGGAGAGGAAAAAACTAATCTGGGCATCCACATTCAGTTTGTGTGTGAAGATCTGTGTTATACATATACAGACACACGCGGACACACACACACGGACACACACATTGTGTTTAACTCCTCACATTCCTATGTTAATATAGCTAACTGTGGCAGTGCTTCCTCTGTGTCTTTGTATGCCTTAGCTCACCCAATGCACTCTCAGCCCTATGTGGTATTATTATCCCCATTTTATAGATTAGGAAACCATGGCTCAGAGATGTTAATGAGCTGATCAAGCTCATTAACTTGTAGGCCCAGGATTCCAATCCAGCGTTTCTGATTCCAAAACGCACATATTCCTCTCTCTACATCTTGCAAAAATACAATATGGGATAAAAAGAAAATGCCAGACTATCTATGCCCCCTACATAATCCAACTATACAATATGAATCACTCACGGTCTCTCTTTTTTTAAAAAAATTCCTATTATTGCCTAAAATGACATTTTTTTTAACTGGAAAATATACATTTCCAACCTCCCTAAAAAAATCTGACTCCCCAAAGGGTATTGACTTTAGAAGGAATGAGTTCCACTCCATGGATAATTTTAACCCTTCCTTTTAATAGTCAGCCACCATCAGGGATCCAAGATAACCTATTATTCCGCCTTTTTTAGTTAATCCTTAGAGAACCTGAATAATCTAATTTGACTTTCACCAGAATTCAAATTAATTGCTAAATCTCTGCTCGAAGGTACAGTAATAGAAGATCAACACATACCCTCTAAGGTTAGCTAGAGTCAAGAAATCATGACAATATCAGGGGAATGTGGTTTTTATTTTAAACATTTACTCTAAAAATAGAAGCACATTTTAAACTTGAACCTACCAGAGAGATATCCCATTTAGCGCATGTGATGTCTGAAGTCAGGAGAAAATCTGAAAAGGTCAGTTAAATACATCTAGTTGTCTGACAGTATGTAGATTCCAATAATCAATTACTTGGTCTATAGGGGTGTCTAAAATCTACAGCTAAGGGCGCCTGGGTGGCTCAGTTGGTTAAGCGACTGCCTTCGGCTCAGGTCATGATCCTGGAGTCCCGGGATCGAGTCCCACATCGGGCTCCCTGCTCAGCAGGGAGTCTGCTTCTCCCTCTGACCCTCCCCCCTCTCATGTGCTCTCTCTCTCATTCTCACTCTCTCAAATAAATAAATAAAATCTTTTAAAAAAAAATAAATAAAATCTACAGTTAAGGCAATGTTTTTTGTTTGATAGATACCTAATTGATAAACTCTGTATAGTTAGAAACTTCACATACCATTATTATGGTTTGACAGAGAAAATTCTGTTTGGAAACAAAACATTTGGTTATGCTTATTACATAGAGAACTGGGAGGTTTTACTTCTGTCTTCTGCTGGATAAAGCATAGATTCTTACTGGTAGGATGGAGTCTTTGGAGGTCACCAGAAGTCTTTTTCCATCTTCCAAATGTCCAGGATTGCATTTAAGTACATTGTATTACTGCATTTCACCTAAGGGAGTAGACTTCCTTTTCTGGGTGTACGCTATTTTAAAATGCCCCATTCATATGCAGAAAAACAAAACAAAATAACATAATACCTGAATGAAAATGCCAGCGATCACCTATTTGCATACACAGTGTAGATTTTCATGAACAAACCATCAAAAATCTCTGTGGTTACTAAGGAGGAAAAACAGTACCCACATTTATAAAGAAAACAGACATACTATTAAGCAGCACTTTGCAATCAGGTGACATTCCTGCAGATGTTTCTAATTATTCTTTTAGAAGTATAGAAATGAGATTGATCTCAGTCGTAACATTTATGACAAAACCTTCAACTCTTTTGCTCCATATTTACTTTTTGAAAATTAAAAAAAAAAGAAGAAAAAGGAAAACTCTTCAAGAACCCTACCTACTACCCCCGAGACCTGTCCTTATGCAACACCTCCTGATTCTTTTCAAGCATGAGTAACACACTTGCTAGATTGGGGTTTCACAAACCAGGCTTGTGCTCAGTGTGTGGTTTACCTGGAAATCTTAGCTTCAGACCAACCTGAAACCGGTGGCTAACAGAGGTGAGAAAAAAATGAAGATCTGCAATTATGGTGGCCCAGTTTAAAGACAATCTGGGAAAACAGGCATCAAATTCCTTTCCCAAATGGTGTTTTAAAATTCCTTTTAGCAGAACAAACCTCCCAAACAGGAGAAAGAACAACTCATGACCCTTGGTTTAATGGGATCAGTCTACAGTCTATCATCTTTCAGAAATGGGGGGGGCAGGTTTGCAGTGAATAGAATTCATCTGCGGGGGCTCCATCTATGAAGCTTGGCTCGCTTCCATTTTTTGTTTTGTTTTTGTTTTTATTTTATTTTTATTTATTTGACAGAGAGAGACACAGCGAGAGAGGGAACACAAGCAGGGGGAGTGGGAGAGGGAGAAGCAGGCTCTCCTCTGAGCAGGGAGCCCGATGCGGGGCTCGATCCCAGGATCCTGGGATCATGACCTGAGCCGAAGGCAGACGTTTAACGACTGAGCCACCCAGGCGCCCCTGTTTTGTTTTTGCTTTTAACCGAAGCCACATAGAACTCAGGAATATTTCAAAATTCAAATATAGAGAGAAGGAAAGGAAGCAAAAGGCTCCGAGACGTAGGATGCGGTTAGAACTAACAAGGTTCCTTTCGTTCATCCCTCAAGCCTCCTCTCCCACATTCCCAAAGTGTTCCTTATCCCCTGGGTCCCTGGTGGAGATGATGCTGTGATGCGGCCCGAAAACAGCAACAGGAGTCACGCCCGCCTCGCCGCTCTCTCCGACTTGCTTTTTCTAGGTGGGTTGGAAAAGGCAGGCGAAAGCTACAGCCAGGGAGGCGGGGGTGGGGGTGGGGGGCGAGGAAGGAATGATCCCTTCCAAGGCAACGGAAAACGTGCTCAGGAGTTCATTCACCGAAAGCGCATAGCAGCGCTGGGAGCCTGCCACCCGGGAGATAGTGCTGCACTCGACGGGTTTGGATTTGTTTTTTGCATCTTCATCACTCTCCTCCAAGCTGTCCCCTCAGAAGGCTACTTCCGTCCACACTTCCCCTTCCCCGCGGGGTCCTGACCCTCTGCGCGCGGAGGAGCTAGGGCTCTCCACCCCTCCGTTTTGAGTCCCTGCTCGCTCCTGTGCGCCAGCGTACCCACCTGGCCTGGCCCTCGCCCCTAGAAAGCGGGGCCGACCGCCGCCGGCAGCCCACCTCCACATCCGAGGGGTACACTGGGGGCAACCTGCTTCCAGAGCCCTGCTGGAAGACTGAAACTTGATCTGCGAGATGCGGGCTTCTAAGCCCAGCCATCGGACAAGGACCCCGGCAACCCGCTGGAAAGGCGACGACCCCCGCCAAGCAGGAAAGCGAGCTTCTGCAAGCCCCTTCACTTCCGCGCCCCGTGTCGGCAAGGTGGGACGGGGCGCGGCTTCCACTCCCTTCCCCAGACCCCCCCCACCCCAGGCCCGGAGATGCCTTCCCCGGATCCTCCCGGCCGTCTGCCAGCCCTAGCCCCCTACCTCGAAAAGCTGAGGGATTTCCCTCCGGGCCAGATACTCCTTGGCATCGTTGGTGTTCATGGCTGTGCCGCGCGTGCCTTGGGGCACGGGCGGAGAGGTTCCCGGGCTGCGGCGACCTGGGCTGGGGCTGGCGGGGTCCGCGCGGAGCACGGGTGCAGCCCTCGATCTCACGCGCAAACACTCCCACGCTCAGCTCTGCCCGCCCAGGCCAGTGCCCCCCTTTCCGGTCCCCGGGGCCTGTGGTCTCCGCGCTCCCGCCGCCCCCGCCTCGCTGCTGGTCCGCGCGCCGGAGCTGCCGGCTTAGAGCAGCGGCTTCCCGGGCTCCCAGGCAGCGCGGCCGCCAGAGAAGGGCGGAGGGAGCGGAGGAGGGAGGACAGCGCGGCGGACGCCAAGCAGCAGTCCGCTCGCCTCTCCCGCTCAGCGCGCCGCGCTCTGCGCCTCCCGGAGCCGGGTCTGCGGCGGCGGCCAGTCACGCTGCGCGGGCGGGCACAGGGTGCAGGGGTGGGGGCGGGCGCGCGCCGGGGGCTCGCAGTCACACCCCTCCGAGTCACACCACCGCCGGGGCGCGGCGCTGACCTGCGCGCGCCGCCCGGGGACGCGGCAACCTGGGACCAGGTGGCCAAAGGAAGAATCGGGGGCTCGAAAAACCTGCCCCCCCTCCCTCCCCCCCAACCACAGAGTTACTCCTGCATCCCCATGTAGCTCCTGGGAAGAAACCTAATTGTTACAGAATTTGTCATTTATTCCTAAGGTTACCGATCTTTCATCACAGGGAGCTGGAGGTAAAGGAGAGAAGGGAATTCATAGTGTGGAATCCGTCCTTATAAGACAATTTTTAGATCTTGGGTATTTCTATCCTTCAGGAAAGTTTTGCTAGATGCTTTCTAATTTTTTCCCTGTCAGGGTCACAAATCCTTACAGATTTCAGTGTAAGGCCTTACAGGGAGGCTGAAATCTTCATTAATAGAAGGATTAGTAAGTAGTCAACTAGTTAGCTAACCCCCACAGAGAGGAATGGAAAGGTGGAGGAGAGAAGTGGGTGGTGGTGGAGAGCTGGAGACCGCTTAAATTGGAAATGTGCTTGGTAGGTGGCGTGGGCGCCATCATTAATTGGATCTGAAGGGTATGTAGTCAGTGGGCCGTGGGCCGTCAGAGCACTCAGGGGCTGGATGGTGCGCTGAGGCAACCATGAGAGTAAAGAATCTTCCTGTTAAACACGCCATTATCAAGGTATACCCATCCTCCGCCTAGCTCTCAAGATGACTCCTTTCCCCCATTAAGATGTCTTTTCACTGTCTGTTTGAAAGATGGTCCGTGTCACCCTGAGAATATGACCTCTAACTGTGTTCCAGGCCTGACACTGTGGGAGGGTGTGTGAGAGAGAAGGTGGCCTTGATGGTCACTGACATCTGCCAGGGAGAGAAGCAGCACTGCAGCCGTTTCCCAAAACCCTTGTCTGAATGTCCATTTCATGTTCATCTTTGCAGATCTTTCCTTGATTCTATTTCTTGTCACACAAGCCACTTGCTACCAAAGCCTTAACTATAGCTACAGTTTTGTTTTACCCAAGGGAGGGAACTCAAGAATTAATTGAGTCTTGTAAATGAAGTTTTCTGAACACTTGTGAAACCGTGTGTCATATGGTAGCCTTAAATGAGGCAGGTGTTCCATTCCAGTCCCATAGAAATTGATTTCTGCCCTCAGAATATGCCACATAACTTAGTCCCAGCTTCTGACATTCTTTACCTTATTTGAGAGCAGGTTATGGCCGTGGTTAAGCATTGTTCCTTCTCTCTGCAACAATACTTGCAAAGTCCCAGGATGCATGGCATGAAGCCTACTTTGTGAGCAAGCACAGCTGAGGTGAAGCATCTAGGATTTAAGAGGCCACTTTCTGCAGGACCTTTCACGGTCACCCTTTATAGACAAGAATCTGACAGAGCACAGCTCACATCTTCTCTCCTGGAGAGGAATGTAACCTGAATGGATGTGTAATTCTAAATGCACTTTAGTATAGCCAGGCAAGGATGGCCACTTACTTATACAAAGAAGAGTGGATAAGAAAGACTGCATTGCACAAAATAGTCTAGAGAGTCTGAAAAAACCTAGTCCGGGCATAACTCAGAGATATTGCAGGTTTGGTTCTAGACCAACACAATAAAGTGAGTATTGCAATAAAGTAAGTCAAATAAATTTTTTGGTTTCCTACTGCATATAAAAGTATGTTTATGCATATTAAAGTGTGCAACAGCATTATGTCTAAAAAATAACCTACATACCTTAATTAAGAAATATTTTATTGCTAAAAATACTAACCATCATCTGAACTTTCAGTGAGTTGTAATCACTGATCACAGATCAGCATAACAAATATAATAATAACAGAGTTTGAAATGTTGCAAGAATTACCAAAAAATGACACACAGACATGAAGTGAGCAAATGCTGTTGGAAAATGGTGCCAATAGACTTGCAAGGCACAGGGTTGCCACAAATATTCAATTTGTAAAAAAGCACAAATATATGCAAAGCACAAGAAAGCAAGGTTTGCCTGTAAAACAATAAAATGAGGTATGCCTGTAACTGGAGGTATGGCAAGTTTTCAGGTAGCCTTATGCATAACAATCAGTGCTTTTTGACATATTCCAGCTATATGAAAGGCAAGATATTCATAATTACTTTGGCAAAGGAAGGTGTGGCTAGGTAGAGAAAGGCTGAATGAGGGAAGGGTAGTGCTTAAAAACCAGGCTGGTGGTTTGGAAGAGGGGAAAGAGGACTAGGAACAACAAATACATGCTTGCCATGGGAAAGCTTTCATATCATTGCCTGATGTGAAATTCTAACGATGGTATATAAAAGGTTCTTGGCTCTTTGCTCCTTGTTGACTTGCGGATGCAGTCCTGCAAGTTCTAACCAATCAAGATGATTAGTGCATGTCTGGTGTCACCAGATAGAATGTCTTCTGCTCCCACCGTGGGAGGGTGTGCTAGATTTTGAGATACAGCAGGGAATAAGACAGACATGATTGCTGCTGTCAAGGAACGTCCATTCAACTGCAGAGTGTCTGTGAGAAGTACAGATGGAAAATAAGCAACTGGGCCATTTGTATATCTTGGGCCATTTGTAAATATTTCGCTTACCCAGAAAAAAAAAAACCCTAAATGTGTAAGACCTACCATATGCCTGTATGTTGTCCTAGTAAATGTGCCTCTTGTTTACAGGTATTCTTTTTAGGTCTTTCTGAGGCTTTTACTTTTTTGTAAATGTAGAATATACACACTGGTCTGTGAAATCTGGGGTAAATGCAGGCTGAAATAATGGTGTAACACAATTCTTTAGCCAAAGCAGAATTTCCCTATGCTCTATTTCTTTTCCCCACACTGGCTGAGTAGCTGAGCCAGACTGGTTGAGTAGCTGAGCCAGTAGCTGGATCTCAAAGACAGCTAGAAACTCCTAAATTAGAGGGGCTTAGAGGTCAGAGATTAAAAACTCTTCCATAATGTCTGAAAGCATTAGGAAAATTTCCAAGTATATAATATATATAGAGAGAGAATAGCTAAGATTTGGAAAAATCCTATTTACTTATCTATTCATCAAGTAATGCATTCATTCATTAAACAATTACAAAATAACCTTTTATGTTCCAGACTTGTGACTGGAGCTGGGAATACAAAGAGCAAGACCCAAGTGGTTCACTGTCTGGTAGAGAGAGATAGACTTGTGATAATTAAGTACAGATAAATGTAATAATTTGTTTTAGCAACATGATAGAAGTAGATATGTGGAGGAAGATTGTTATTATGGGACACAAAGGCACATGACTCATAGAAATATGTATATGGTAAAAAGCACTCAGAAAGTTTTAAAAATAGACTTTCTTCCAATATTTCTTCACCACCCTTAAAAAATGTTTTTAATCTGTTTTCTCTTCCATTTTTTCCGGATACATAGATTTTCAGAAACATTGTCATAACTGTAATTACATACATTTCTATGCTTTACATAGTGATCTTTTAAAATGGCTTTATAAGAGTTCATTGAGGAGTTTTGAAACAGCAACTTATGTTAATTATGTTAATAATTTCTGTAGTTAAAAGAATGAATTACAAATCATACTACATTAAGAGTAAGAACGTCTATTCCTCAAAGACACCATTAAGAAAACAAAAGGCACTTTATTGAATAAGAGGATATATTTATAATACAACCATCCAATAAAGGTCTCAAATATATAAAGAACTTTTACAAATCAATAAGAAAAAGATAATCCAGTAGAAAAATGGACAAAAGACTTGAGCAGACACTTCAAAAAGAGGCTTTCCAAATCCAACTTCAAATGACCAATAATATATGAAAAGTAATAATTTCATTAGTCATCAAAAATATGCAAATTAAACAATGTGATATCACTGTATACCCACAAGAATGGTTAAATTGAAAAAAGACAACAAATACCGATGGTAATGAGGCTGTGGGGTAATGAGAACTCACACTCCTGGGGAGATAGAAACTTGTACAGCCACTTTGGAAAATTGTTTGAAATAACTACTAGAGCTGAACATATGTTTTTTTGCATTCACCAAAAGTTATGTATTAGAATCTTCATAGAAGCATTATTCTTAATAGCCCCAAACTGGAAACTACTCCAGTGCTCACCAACAGTAGAACACAAATTATGTTATATTCACAAAATGGAATACAATGAGCAATGAGAATCAACAGTCTACAGCAACATGTAACAACATGGATGGGTCTCACAAACATAATATTGAGTAAGCACTAGACACAAAAGATACAAACTATTTGGTTTCATTTATATAAAGTAGAAAAACAGGGGCGCCTGGGTGGCTCAGTGTTAAGAGTCTGCCTTCGGCTCAGGTCATGATGCCAGGGTTCTGGAATCGAGCCCCGCATCGGGCTCCCTGCTCTGCGGGAAGCCTGCGTCTCCCTTTCCCACTCTCTCTGCTTGTGTTCCCTCTCTCGCTGTGTCTCTCTCTGTCAAATAAATAAAATCTTTTTTAAAAAAATAAATAAATAAATAAAGTAGAAAAACAGACAAAACTAATCTAGGCATTAGAAATCAGGATAGTGGTTCCCCATGTGGGAGTGAAGTGATAGGGAGAGAGCTCAAGGACGGCTTGTGGGATACTGCTCATGTACAGCTCCTTGATTTGGGTGCAGCTTACATGGATACGCTCATCTTATCCTGTACAAATAAGACATGCACTTGTGTGGATGTATATTATCCTTAAATAGATATATTAAAAAGTACAAGAAGGTGAAGTATGGGATTCAGATCCCAGATCATCTCATTCTTAAGTTCCATGCCTTGCTAAATGTTCTGTGCTATTTTGTCATGTAATAAGCCGATCAAAAATAAATTT